TTCCTTCCTTCCTTCCTTCCTTCCTTCCTTCCTTCCTTCCTTCCTTCCTTCCTTCCTTTCTTTCTTTCTTTCTTTCTTTCTTTCTTTCTTTCTTCCTGTCTACTTTGAGGCAGGGTCTCACTGTGTAGCCCAGGCTGTCCTGGAGCTCACTATATAGACCAGGCTGACCTGAAACTCACAGAGACCCTCCTGCCTCTGCCTCCTAAATGCTGGGATTGAAGATGCATACCACTACACTTGGCTTCCCAGTCCCATTTTTTTTTAAATATGTTTTATTCATTGCTATGTCCCCAGTGGCTAGAAAAAAAAATTTTTTTTTTGGCACATAGTAGGTCCTCAGTAAACGCTGGTTGAATGAGTAAATTGTCCATCTACACTTGAGGCCCGTGTGTAGCAGCCCTAACCTACCTCTAGCAAGGACCGTTCCTCAAGTGTGTGTCTCCCACTCTGGCAGCACAGCTTCATTTACAGATGGAGGAACTGAGCTCGGTGACTCAGTCTCTCACCTGAAAGTGGCAAGGCCAGGTGCATTTGTTTCTTAAAGGACACCAAGCACCTCTCATGTCCCAATACAGAGATGACCAAGGCTCAGTCCCTCATGTTCCTCCCAGCACTCCCAGAGGGAGGAGTTACAGAAGGAGGCCAGCACCCTTGGTCCTGAAGCCTGGCACGCCTTTAATCCCAGCACTCGGGAGGCAGAGCCAGGCAGATCTCTGTGAGTTCCAGGACAGCTTAGTCTACAGAGCAAGATCCAGGACAGGAACCAAAACTACACAGAGAAACCCTGTCTCGAAAAACCAGAAAAAAAAAAAGACCGTTGGTCCCGATGGCAAGTGCCAAACAATCCCTTAGACTCCATTGTTAGATTCCAATAATGCTTCAGCTCCCAGACTTCTGGGTTCCATGTGGAATTCATTATCCAGTTTTGAGTTCCAGGCTCTTTAACCATAAATTCTTCTTGTTTTTTTTTTTTTCTTTCTTTTTTTTTTTTTCTTTTTTGGTTTTCTTTTTCTAGACAAGGGTTTCTCTGTGTAACAGCACTAACTGTCCTGGAACTAGCTCTGTAGACCAGACTCACAGAGATCCCCCTGCCTCTGCCTCCCTTTAGTCCTCTGGCTCTTCTTGGTTTTGATCCTCCCACCCTTCTCTGTCAGTGGGGGGCTCCCTAGACACCAAGCAGGGTAACGCTGCTGCCCTGTAGCACTGCTTGGAGAACGCCACACGCTGGAAGCCCAGTCCCCAGGTCTTTGGTGGCTACTTTGCCCATGTGACAGTTGAGGACCAGGGAAGGCAGGTGCAGAGCTTACGGGACACATCAGAGGATTGAGAGCTGGTCACCTTCCATCGCACGTGGCCTCCCACTCCGCTGAGGCTTCTGGCACTGATGAGCTGTGCTTTCTTCACAGAGGAAGAGCAGACTCAGGGCTTTGGGACACAGAATTAGGATGGGACACTCAGGACAAAGACATCTCTGAAGTTCAGGTTTAAGATTGAGGCCACCTTGATTGTAGTGGTGACACAGATCTTCGGTAAGAGGTCCGGGTACAGTTTGGGGTGAAAACCCTCTTCTCTGCCTTCTCTGCAGAATGGGGACTGGTAGGATATGAAGGGTTAAGTGTGGTTTTGTTAGGGAAGTCAGGCTAGGGAGGGGGAGGAGGGATGGGGAGGGCTGAGACAGTGGGCACAGCCCCAGCCCCAGCCCTCACGTTTTGCTGGCTCACCCACCCGCCTCTGCTTCTAGTTTAGCAAATAGGAGTGGGAGAAGCAGAAGAAGCTTTTTTGCTGTTGTTTTGTCTGGGAAGTTGAGTGGCCGTGCCACACCCTGAGGGAGAGGACTGCAGGGAAAAGAAACTATGTTCTCGGATCCCTAGATGCATCCGGGGTCCTCACCACACTGCCCGGTCACCCTCACAGGAATAAGAACTCTCCCGGAGCCTGGCAGTGGTGGCGCACGCCTTAAATCACTCAGGAGGCAGAGGCAGGTGAATCTCTTGAGTTTGAGGCCAGCCGGGTCTACAGAGCAAGTTCCAGGACAGCCAGGGCTACACAGAGAAACCCTGTCTCGACAACCCAAAACCCAAATAAATAACTAAATAGAAAAGAACTCTCCCAGAGTTCCAACTCAAGCTCGTGGCCCAGAACCTGCCCAGCCCTGATACCCTGGAACTCCAGGAACTGGCAGCTTAATCAATGCCCTTAGTGCCTCCTCGTAGAGTAAACGGGAAGGCACCATTGCAGATGAGGAGGGCAGGCGTGGCCAGTATAACCAGGGTTACAGGAGAGGACTAGGCAGCTGAGCAGAGGAGTCTTTGATGGAGGCTGAAGAGGCTGGGACAAGGGACCTGGGGACCAGGGTAACTATTTTGGGAGATGGTCTAGTCTGGGCCCTCCCAGAACTGGCTGGAGAGGCACATATGCTGTGGCTGAGGAGGGGAATGGAATCAGGATGGAGACCCTGCAGTAACCACCTCACTCCCCACCCCGTTCCCCTTTGCAGGCCCTTCTTGCAGCCACAAAAATCTGGAACCTGGTGTCCTGGCCATGTGATGAATGCACGTACAGCCCTGGTATCTGTTTTAAATTATCCATTAAAATAAGTACAGTCCTGGAAAAAAAGTAAGTACAGTCTCGGAATTGGTTGGGTGGGGCAAGCTGTTGAAAGGGGCTGAAGTGGAGGGATTTCAGCAGCCTCTTTTTCCAACTGTCTGGGTTCAAAGGAAAGGGGCAGGAGATGGGAGGGGCCAGCTCCTGACTTCTATTCTTGGCCTTCTCTGGGGGGACTGACTCCCAGGCTCATTGCTTAGCTCTAAAGCCCAATGCTTGGTTTCAAAGTCAGAAATACAGGGGAAGTACATAGGTAAAAAGGTCCTTGATCTTTGCCCCAAACTTGAGGGCATAAAGTAATTCCTCAGCCACCTAAGAACCCAGACAGTCCTCTGCCATCCCACTCCTGGTATACTGAAAAGAAGCCCTGAATGGACCGCCCCTGTGCGCGGGGGAGAGGTGACTCACTATTACTACGGGGGGGGGGGGGGAGCCAGTGGTGGAAGAGGAGTGAATCACCGATGGGCCTTAGCCCTACCCCCCAATTTCCTGGCTCCGTGGCAGGGCCTGGCTCTCTCCCTCACTTTGCACCTACTTCTCCCGTCCCTCACCACTACCCTTTGCCCACCCACTCTCATTCCTTGGCTCTGCCCTTTACCCCAGAAGGCCAAGGCAAGCTTGGAGCTGAAAGAGTTGAGCAGGCAGGAACCCATACTGTGAAGCCCGAGGCCCGAAAGGGGTTGTTCTGGAGAGGGTGAGGCTTGGCAGTCCTGGCCCCTCCTCACCATACCTGCCCCCGCCCCTTTGGGTCTGGGCTGGCTCCTTTAAGAACAGTGGATCCACCCCCTGGAGAGGACGGCCTATTAGAGCCTTTGCCCGGCTGTCAGTGACTCAGTGTTCGCGGGAACGCAGCCTCAGCTTCGACACCAGCCAACCCAGATCCCGAGGTGCGCCAGCGCCCAGCCCAGATCTCCACGCCTGCCAGGAGCGAGCTTAGAGCCAGTCGCCGGCTCGCTGTGCCCCCGAGCAGCCTTCTGTCCTTCTGTCCAAGTCCCGCGCCCTTCTCGGGACCCCCTGCCCAGTGGGCAGCACTGCCACCCTGCCGGCCATGGAGACCCCGTCGCAGCGGCGCGCCACCCGCAGTGGGGCGCAGGCCAGCTCTACTCCGCTGTCGCCCACCCGGATCACCCGACTGCAGGAGAAGGAGGACCTGCAGGAGCTAAATGACCGTCTGGCGGTGTACATCGATCGCGTGCGCTCCCTGGAGACGGAGAACGCGGGGCTGCGCCTTCGCATCACGGAGTCCGAGGAGGTGGTCAGCCGAGAGGTGTCCGGCATCAAGGCGGCCTACGAGGCCGAGCTGGGGGATGCCCGCAAGACCCTCGACTCGGTGGCCAAGGAGCGCGCCCGGCTGCAGCTGGAGCTGAGCAAAGTGCGGGAGGAGTTCAAGGAGCTGAAGGCTCGGTGAGTGAGGCCAGGCCGGCACCAGAGAGGCAGAATCGCCGGTCACTGGCCATCTAGTCCCCTCCCTCCCCGGAACTGCCTCCCGCGGGTGACTGGCAGTGCCAAGGGGGAATAGTCAGACAGGACACAGAAGGGAGGGGTCCCTGCGAGAGGGTGAGGGGTACAGAGAGTAGTGGGGGTATTGGGACCGAGCAGGGTTGGTGACAGGGCCTCATTCTGTCAAGGTGGGATTTTACAGCCATTTGGAGCCTGGGGGGGATGGGCTTGGGTAAGGCAGAACTGGCTCTACCAGGTCTTGGAACTCCGGGACACCGGGGACACATCGGAATGGGTGAAAGGGTTTTTATTAGAACTTTCTTGGCAGGGTTGGCACTTTGCCAATTTTGCCCAACGTGGTTCTGAACACATGGTGTCCGGTAAAACATACCTCCCACACTGACATTGGTCCAGCGGGACGCTAGAGGGGTCACCAAGGCAGCATGGCTGTGTTAGCATGGCCTTCTCCTGGTTCCTTCTGGGAGTTAGGAATGCCGGGGACTTTCCCTCGACTCTCAGGCCCACCAGAAGCTCACCAGGAGATCTGCTCCCCCGCAGATCCCACAGCCCTTGGCCTGCCTGGCCCAGGAATGCACGGGAGGGCGGGGAGGGAGGCTGGGCACCGAGGCCAATGGCTCAGGAAATACTGTTATGCCTCCGTCTCCGGCACCCCACTCCAGGCCCTCTCTGCCTGGTGACTTCAAGGTCTGGAAGCTCTGTCCTTTCCTCCTCGGCCCAGTGGGCTGCTTTCATTTTCCTAGCCAAGCCAGACTTCACTCGGCCCATCCTCTCAACTGCTGATGTCTTGATCTGGCCTTACTAAACTGCTGGAATACAATGACATTTTTGAAATCCAGCCGTTAGGGAGCTTCAGGCTACTCCCGCCTCACCCATCCCTGCCCCACCCTACCCCACCCTACTTGACTCCACCTTCTTTCTAAAAAGGCCTCCCAAAGCCTGGGAAGTTTCAGGCCGCCCCGAGTTCTTCCTCCCAGACTCCCACTTGGTTCTGTGCTCCCGGGTCCTTTCTTCAAGCCACAGAGCGCTACAAGTGACTGCAGACACCTAAGGGGCCGGTAGCTTTGAACTCTCTTTTTTCCTTTTGCATTATCTTCTCCCCAAACTCAGCATGTATCTGTGGTTAGTCATTACTGGATCCCAGCCCTAGGTGTAAGTATGGCAAATTCATCACTTCCTCAGGTGTGAACGGAAGTTGTGTGAGCAGATGGGTCCAGCCTTTCTTTCTGCTAAAAGGAATGACCTGTCTTCCCCCCCCCCATCAGAGATATGAACAACTTATTGAGAAATATAAGAGGCAAATTCGAGGAGTTAACCAGTGAATTAATTAGTTAGTGATCTAAACTAGTTAAATCAGCCCGATCCCTGGGAAGAACTTGTGAGGCAGATCTGGGGTCAGCACTGACCGGAAACAGTGGAGTCTCTAGCGTCTTGTCCATGGAGTTGAGCCTCCTCTGCCTCCCAGTGCAGCTGTCCAGGCCTGGGACACCAGGCGGTGTGTGCACACGGAGGGTAGGGTAGGGGCCGGATGATGTGTGCACTGGGTTATATTTAGCCACCTGCCTCTGTTCTCTACTGATCCTAACTGAGGAGGAGGCGGGGCTTCCGGGAAGGGGATGGGTGGGTGGGTGTGCACACCTGGGTCCATGCGGGTGGGACGGAGTGGAGGCGAAGGGACCTGAGATGGGGTGTCTGTCCACGGTAGGAAGGCCTATGGCTGCTACTCATTCTTGTGGCTCTTGAGCTCAGGCCGAGGTAGAGAAAGGGCCTGAATGAAGTCTGGGGAGGGAGAAAGGAATTGTCCACGCCTTCCCACCAGGGCCGGGAAAGGTGACTGGTTTAATGTTTAATTAGATTTAGAGCTCAGAGTTCAGAGTCAGGCTCGGAGTCAGAGACAGCTGTTTGTGAGACCCTGGGACAGTCTTTGGCACCACCCAACTTGGGTCTCTCAACCACACCCATAGCCCCCTTCTCTTCCAGCTGGATTTTAAGTTCCAAGGGGAGGAAAAAGAAAGAAAGGAAATAAACAAGGCCCTCTTTCTCCCTCTTCTCAAGAGGTTTGGACACCTCAGCTGGGAGGAGGGGACAGCTGGTAGCTTGGGCAAGGCTCACCAGTCCCAGGCTTAGAGTTGGATAAGCCTCACTCCAGGCAGGACGGACAGCTGCAGGCCTGAGTCAGATGCGGCCCCTCCCACCCTAGTGGCTTCATGAGACACAGCAGGAGACGAGTGTAGACCACAGATAGCTTAAAAGGGAAGGAGGGGGGCCTGAATGTCTACATCTCCTGTCTTCTCCCCACAGCGTCCTGGGGTCCCTTTCCTGCCCCCCTCCTTAGGTTTATTTGAGTGCGTGTGAGAGTGTGTGCATGCACGTGTGCCACCGTGTGCATGGCAGAGCGCAGCTTGGGGAGATTGGCTCTTAATGTGGGGCTTGGGGATCGGACTCACGCCACCAGGCTTGACATCAAGCACTCCTACCCATTAAACCTCCCTGATTGTCCTTTCCTTGGAACCCCTGACAGTAATCCTAGCACTCAGGAGGCGGAGGCAGGAGGATCACCCTAAGTTTAGGTTAGGCTAGTTACAAGGTTAGTCAGGGCCCACACAAGGAGTAAGAGCCAAGCCAGACGAAAGAGAGGATGCGGGCTGTAGTTCCTGTCGCTCCTCCCACCTCACGGCCCCTTGCCTAGTGCACAGCACTCTTTTCTTTCTTCTTTGTGAGGAACAACACACATGGAGGTCAGAGGACAACGTGCAGGGTCCCTCCACTACACAGGCCCCAGGGCACCAGGCTGTCGGGCCTGGTGAAAAGGGCCCTCACTCCCTGAGACGTCTCCCAAGCCCTCAATAAGCTGCTCGTTTATTTTCCTTCAGGTCTTTACGGTTTTTATGTGCACGGGTATTTTGCCTACATTTGTGCATGTGCACCACTTGCATGGATGATGCCTGTGGAGGTCAGAGGAGGCTCAGATTCCCTGAAACAGGAGTTACAGGTGGTTGTGGGTGCCGGGAACTGAGCCTCTGCAAGAACAAGTACTCTGAACCATTGAGTTCCGTTCCCAAGGGCCACTTACAACTGCCTGTGACTCCAGCTACAGGGGATCTGATACCTTCTTCTGGTTGCCACAGGTCTGTGGGCAACCACACAACATATCGTAATCAACACACACACACACACACACACACACACACACACACACACTTTGAAATTTTTTATTTAAAAAAAAAGGCTGGTAGAATCTGGAACAGGCAGTGCATATGAAATTAGAATGGCAAAAGGACTAGGGTGTGGCTCTGTGGCACGGTGCCTACCCAGCACACCCAGGCGCTGTGTCCCGTCCCTGTCAACACACACACACACACACACACACACACACACACACACACACACACTAGTGTATTGTTGTAGCTAAGGCTCGGTGGTAGAGCACTTGTCTAACATGCTTGGGGCTCTGTGTTCAGTCTCTAGCACTAGTCAGGTGTGGTCGCACAAGCTTGTAATTCCCAGAGCTTGAGAGGCGGAGGCAGGAGGATTATGGTGAATTCAAGGCTAGTCCGGGCTATATAGAGACCCAGAGTGTGATCTGAGTGTGCCTTCTATGAGAAACTGTTGGAGTGAGCCTGGCTCAGGAATGGGGACAATTCTAGACCCACAACACAGAAGCACCTCTTCCCCCCATAAGGCCTTCATGTTAGATGCCCCCTGAACTGGCAGGCTTCTGTGACCCCAGTGCAGAGAAGCAGGGAGATGCACTCTGTGGAGGCTGTGGTCACAAGAACCAAGTCAGAGGTTTGTCCCATACTCCGAGGGGTGAAAGGTCAGGATGTGAGCGTCTGACTTCCCAGTGGCTGTTCTATTAAACCTCTAGCATGAAAGACAGGTTGGAGCCGGGTGATGGTGGTGCATGCCTTTAATCCCAGTACTCAGGAGGCAGAGCCAGGAGGATCTCTGTGAGTTCGAGGCCAGCCTGGACTACAGAGGGAGTTCCAGGAAAGGTGCAAAGCTACACAGAGAAACCCTGTCTCGGGGGGAGGTGGGGGAGACAGTTTGGAAGTCTAACTGCAGCTTATTTCTGCTGCCTAGAGATCCTGCTCTGAGGCCAATGACATGTTTGCCTCAGTCTGTACCTGGAAAGACCCAGGACCCTGCTAAGCTCAGCATCATCAAACAGTTCAACCCTGAGAGCCTGGAGATCATGCCTTCAGTCTTGAGGCTTGGGGTAGGACTTGGCGGCCCAGGTTGGAAGGAACTTTGGAGGAACTGTTACACTGATAGAGGCAGGCGTCCTGGAGGGTACCTGGGCCCTAGGTGTCCCCGTCCACATTCTGATTATAAGGAAAGAAGGGGTACAGCTGAACAAACCTGGGGGCTGAGAAGTACTTATGGAGCCCAGGGAAACAGAAAAGCCATTCCTCACTGGGGTCCCCATTGCCTTCCCCTGGCCTCACGAGGTCAGTGGCCCTCCTGCAGGCAGCTCAATGTCTCATTGTCAAGGCTGAAGCCGGGGACAGCTGGGAGGACAACTGGGGGTAGATGCCTTCACCTACAGCTGTGCCCTCTGCTCTCCTCACACCCTCCTCCTCCTCCTCCTCCCAGCCCTGCCCAGCTCTGACAGCTGTGGCAGCTAGACGTGCGGCTGTCTGGAGACCCAGACCCTGGGCAGAGTCTTCTCCGTGCTCCCCTTCTTGGCCCCGGCCGGGAATGTACTGACGGGGTCACGGCCAAGCACTAGCATCCACGGAGACTCCACCAATCCACGGAGACACCCGAGAAGTGCAGCATCTGCTGTCTCTCAGTAAGGTGTTCCACCAAGGTGACAGATAGGGTGAGGTCACAGTTAAGACAGCTGTGGCCCTCACTGTCCGTAATTCTAGTTTACCTTTGTCTCTAAACTGCTGTGCAACCTTGAATTAATCAACTCCCGTCCCATGTTTCCCTAACAACGA